CCCCCCCCCCCCCGTGTGTCGGCAGTACTCCGAGATATGCAAAGAACCCCTGATTCATATCGCTCGATCGTGACGCTCTCATTTTCTGCTCCTGCATCGACTACTAGCTGGTCTACTCGCCAATGATGCCATCGTGCTCGCCAGGGAGGCGCTTGACGCGCTTCTGCTCCCAGTTGTCAATATCCTTTGCCTGGAGACGCTGTTCCTCGTTCGTTAGCTTTCTTCTTCTCCCTGATATCTGAAAGACCAAGACTGGGCTACGCACGTAGTACTCTTCGCGCATGTCGACCCGGCGAGCGCTCTTGCGAAGGCCGAGTTCCTCCTCCTTGGTCAGTTGGCGGACCTTGCGATCGTGCTTCTCGTAACGGATGGCCGTGGCGGGAGTCAGGACGAATGAGCCGGCGACCATGATGGCTATGAAGGGGAGCCCAAAGACGAGGAACGGCCGGCGGGCGAGCTGGGATCGGTACTTGGCAGCGATGCTGTTGGCGTCGGACGCCGGGACGAAGCGCTTGCTGCCAAAGGCCATGGCAGGCAGCGGTGCTTGCGAGTGTCGCGGAAAAGAGATGAAAGGGTTTCAATCGGAATGGTAGTTGATGCCTCAACTGTCACCGGTGTAGCAGTTTGAAGGTGGATAAGGTGGGCTACGTTGTATGCGCAGATGGTTTCGTTACTGGTGATGTCGATGAAAGCTTAGGTTTGTCGAAAGTTTCCGCCAAATGGATGGAGCTAGTTTGTGCTGATTCGTAGGGACCCACACAAGCTCAGGAAAGAGCGTGGGATTTTGTGCTACATAGTCAACCAGCACTGTGCTCTGACCAGCCATCTGCCGAAATCTCGTACGAAAGCGGCAACACATGGTGCATGCTGCCGCTGTAAGCACAGTGCGACTGCCGTCCACCCCAACGAACCTGTGAGGGCCCGCAACCTTCAATACATTGCAGTTGCTCGCTCATCGGGAGGCCCTTTGGATGCTCAGAGTTCAGAAGCACATTGGCATTAGATCATGATTGATGGAACTACTGCAAGACGAGGCCGTCAGGGTGCAGTTGACGTTTCGTCACTCATGGAGCCCTGAAAACCAGCTCCAGTTATTCAGGACAACAACAGCCAAGCAACTTCCAGATCTACTGGATGCCGTCGCAACGCGGCGAACGTAACCGCTGCAAACATTGTTTATCAAATCAGAATGGCCCAGCTACCTACCGTGTGCGTCAGCCTGTCCGCGCAAGCTTCGCTCTGACTCCTTGCCCTCCGTGCCGGCCCCGGCGCTGCTGTCCAGGCGCCGTTCGGAGCTAGCGACCCCATCGTCTCGGCCTTTCTGCGCCGATGACCTGCTTGCGGATGTCAGCAGCGATGGGAGCGGGGTCAAGGCAAGGTCTGGAACCGGGTCTATCTTGGAAGCCAGACCGGACACCGTATGGATGATTGAGTTGTCATCGGTGTGCCTTCTGTCGTGGAGACGCGTTGGAAAGTATCTTTCCCCGATAGATATGCGGGCGTCATAGGAGCACCGCCAATAAAGAGTCGTTTCAGATCGGTTGAGGTGCGTATCACTGGGAACCTTGCAGATCCGCGATCGTTGTGTATCTAGTGTGTGTGTGTGTGTGTGTGTGTGTGACGTGCTTATCTTCCTTGCCATAAGAAGATGATATATCAGTGGTGCGTCAACGTTGACGTTGTTCGAAGAATCACTCTCCCAACAATGTGACTTCCAGAATCAGATTCCGAAAATGTCTGTCTACTGCTCCAACTTTTACGTATGTCTGAGAAAACTTGGCAGTGGGCAAACCAACGCTTACCGCTACGACAGGGATCAATCCAGTGCCGCAACTTTGCGACTCGGTTCGGAGACCGATGTGGTTTTTGCAAGGTTGGCATCCGCCCTTGCCTTCACGTCAGATAGACGTAGATACTGACTAGCTTTTTACAGGTTCACGAGCGAGGTAGACCCATCAAGGAGGGCAAGTTGCCCAATGCTCCAACCGCCTGGGAGCCATGCAGTCCGACAATCGAAGAGGAAGAAGATGAAGACGACAAGACTACCAGCGGCTCAACACTGTGTGCTTCAACAGGAAGCTCAACAAGCGAGACGCGATCACGGCAGAACTCGACATGATGAAGGACTGAAGCACGTATGGATTGAAATTGATCTCTTGGAGGGCCCATGGAAATCGACGGCCAGATCTCACACGAGGAGGGTAAGGCCCTACAGAATGAACACTAGATGTTAATCATAATGATATCACGGTCCGATCCAATCAACCAAATTGCACAGCTCAATTTCCTCATGCCCATCTAAGGTCGGCACCTAAGGTATGATAGGCTTGCGTACTTCGTATCTATCAGGACGCGGGCTTTACGAATGTATGTTTGGTTCGTGCTGCACCACCTGTGGCTAGGCCAAAGTGTCTCGAGGATGCCCTTTGCAAGGGGTCGACACATCTCACGGAGGAGGAGTCACTGCTTGATGCTACCGATACGGGCCATCACTGTCGAGGTTTTCCAGACACCTCACCCCCGGTAGCCCCTTCCCGACTTGTCCACAGCATGTCGGTGCTTCTTGACCAGGAAACCGAGAACGGCTATGACACGGTCACCCACTCGCCATGGCAAACACATCCAACGGTGTTGTTGCCCTGGTTTTGACGCCGTGACTTGAAATCGTCCACCAAGATTCTCTTCCCACCTCAACATCCCTGATCGCCTCTTCTGTTTGTCTTCATCCAGCCTGACATCAATCCCCAACTTTTGGTTAGCTGCGTGCTTTCAGCAGCGTCAGTCGAAGTCTCGATATTCTCGTGTCGTACTAACAGGTAGCCCGCCTTTCGAGCCAGCTTCCATAAACATAGCCGCATACATCAGATCCTGCGACGCCATCATTCTGACTCCATGCTTCGCCGAAAAAGCCCCAGACGTCGATCTGGTCTAAGTCGCAGCCAGTCATCAACCTCGTTCCGGTCAGCTGTTTCTAGGCTCGAACATATCGACCCGGTTGTCGCTCAACGAGACGCTCTCATTGCAGCACAACTCTGCTACAATCCCGGAATGGGGTCGGAAATCCCCGAGGAGGAGCGGCCATCATGGGATGGGCACGGCCTCCCTCGTGACGACAGCAATATACACCGTCCTGGTGATTACGACTTGCGGCGTCGCCAGAGCATTCGACTCATCAACAATGACCTGGGGCCGAGATCATCGCTGGATCCCCATTCGAGGCGGTCTATTGATCCAATTCATCGACAATCAATGGACCGCTGCCGAAGGAAGTCGGGAACAAATCGAACCATGGAACGTGCCTCCTTTGACCACAGCAGTCTCCAGAGATGCCCCAGTGCGCGATCGTCATTTGATCATGGTAGCTCTTGGCGTCATCGCCTTCCTCGTGGTGATGAGCATCGTCCTTCCAGTCGTGCATCCTCAAGGCAAAGGCCGCCATCTGTATCCGATTACAATGCCAGCTTTTTACACTCGATGCACTCTGCTCGAGAATACGACCGATTCGACGATGAGAGAGCCTCCATGATGTCCGTATCAAGACATCTCCGCAAATCCCGATCAATGCTTGTGCCGCTGCCAAACCACGAGCCGGCAAGGGCAGCAAAGCCAACCTCGAGCTACTACTTTACCAGTCGTACACCGGACCAAAACAAACGGCAAAGTTTTTCCACCTCAAAAATGCAAAGGGATCATTCATCTCGGCCCTCATCGACATTAAGCCAAAGTCTTCGCACTCCCAAGTCGATGAGCTTCCTCAAGACCCGCAACATCAAGCAGCAAGAGAAACGACAACATCATAGCGATCTCGCCGTACAGCTCGCCAGAGAGAAATACCGCGAGCAAGTCCAGAAGCAAGAAGCACTCAAAGCGCAATCTTCCATCGGCTTCCATACGACAAGGCAGCCGAGCCACACCTCGTCAGGCTTCCGAAAGTCACTTCGCAATACCAGCAATGCTAGCACAGGTGTTTCGCTCGCAGTCTCAGCTTCGCACACCCTCCACCCGTCTCAAGATGCAAGTATTCGCAAAACAGTGCGCAAGGTTTCTAATGGTCTCAAGACCAAACTTAGGAACTTGTTCCGTCGCGCGAAAGACGAGCATGATTCCGCGTCGCTGCAAAGGTCCTCCCCGGGGCTCAAACAAGAACAGAATCCCCCCACTCAATCAGTCAGCAAACCCGACGACGAAGATGATTACATGAATGTCGTGGATCCTGAGCCGGAAAAATGCTCCATAGCACGGGTCATGTCCCGGATCCCATCTCTGCATGCAGTTCCCTCAAGCTCAAAGCTCCGGTCCCGCCAGGGAAGCATGGAGAGCATCAGAAGCGAACAGGCGCACAATTCTTTGGACGATAAATCTCGCGTTACGAGCTGGACAAACTCTGCTATTTCCATCATCAGCAACGACAAGGCGCATCAGAGACTGTCCATCATTCGAGAGACAGCCTTGCCCCCAACCAACACCATCTACTCAGAGAGCACATACTCACACGACAAGTCACCGTCGGTTCACTTTGGGGGGAACGTTGCCACCGAGGCCCCCATATATAGCCCGGCCACTTTCACGAGTCAACTCATACTTCCATTCAGGGCAGCGAAGACATGCGAAACAGGGTCGAATATTCATGGAGCCAAGGCTACAGCGACGATCACACCTTCTGTATCGCTGAACCGAATCGTCTCAGCCGCTTCCTCGGTTGAATGGAAG